CCTGTGGTATGCTAATAGAATTTAGCATAGTAATAGCATCTCAGGTAAATAAGTAAAATTGAACTGTAAAGCTTAACCTTCAGTTTGTCATAGACATTCATTCAAACCTCTGCTTGTGGTGCTAATGGATGAATCACAAGTACTAAGGCATCAGGATGTTTAGGGAATTCCAGATCATAGAGTCTGTTTACATCGGATTTTCATTTACTCTGGTTGAGTTAGACGATAGATCTTGTGTTTAACATATGAAACTTTCAAATACTTGGAAGTATATTCCTTGTAACTTTTTTTTTCTTCTTAAGGTTCTCTCTTGAATTTGGCCAAACATGCAGCTTCCACAGTTCAGATTCTTGGAGCAGAAAAGGCACTCTTCAGAGCCCTCAAGTCTAGGCGAGATACCCCAAAGTATGGTCTCATTTATCACGCTTCACTTGTAGGCCAGACAAGTCCCAAACACAAAGGGAAGGTGAGTTACTCTTTTCCTGAGGTGGGCTTTTTTATTTTTTGAACAACCATTTTCTTCCTGCTCCTTAATATGCAATATATCTTTCTGTTACTTCTTTCTCATTAAATAGAGAATGATGAATTTTTTAAGTAAAAGGCACTTTTGTACATGGTAAGAAACAATAAGAAGAAAGTGTTGTTGGTCCTTTTAAAGCCATTTTCTTCCACTCTATATTCTATAATCCACCTGTTGATGAAGGATGGGATAGAATGCACATCAAAAGTTTTCTGTGTGGCAGGAAACCAATTTAGCATCAAAATTTATGAATTATAAAAAATAATAGCACATGCATGCACTGTGCTAAAACACTATAGGACTTCAGTGAATCTTTTTATTAGCCCTGTGAAATGTAGGTGTCTTTTATAGATGAGGAATCTGAGGCTTAATTGAATTAAATACTTTAAAGTTTTTTTGTAGGACACCTAATTTTACAGAAACTGAAGTTTTATTAAATTCAGAAGAGAGTGATGGGGAAAAAAAACTTCAGGAAATTACTAAAATGCTTGAAGCAGGGGCTGTACTTTTTCTGGATGATCTATCTCATAATGTAGAACTAATGTCACTGAATAAAAACTAAAAGAAGTCATTTGAAGAATAGTTTGGGCTTTAGACACAAACTACTACAAGATCTTTTCATCCCCCCAAATGATGGTGGTTATGTATTATCAACCATTATATTGTGGCAAAGATTCAAATATAAGATGGGTGGCTTGAATTGTATTATTCATACTTCGGTGATTTATGATTTTAAAAAATCCTATAGTGAATGATAGATTTGATGGTTTGCTGTAGTTTTTTCATGAATAAATCATTGAAAGGATTTTTATATCTCAACTTGGAGTATGTTGGAGTGTTTCTAACTTCAAGCTCTCCTAGATTTCTCGAATGCTGGCTGCCAAAACTGTTCTGGCTATCCGATATGATGCTTTTGGTGAAGATTCCAGTTCTGCAATGGGAGTTGAGAACAGAGCAAAATTAGAGGCCAGGTTGAGGACCTTGGAACATAGAGGGGTAAGAACGACATCCTGCCTATTGTAGCAGTTACCTGTTAATAAGCTGTGAGTAGTTTATGTACTTAGCCCATTTCACTTGCTAAACGGTTTTATTTATTTTCTAATACATTTTAGTTTTTCTAATATATTCTTTCTGTGCTTGCTGTTAACAGTGTCCTTTATATTTACTAAGAATTGATATCCTAGAGTATATATTATAGAGACTATTCTTTAGAAAATTATTGATAATTTTTCTTTTTCCTTAGATAATGAAAATAAGTGGAACAGGAAAGGCATTAGCAAAAACAGAAAAATATGAACATAAAAGGTGAGTACATTGTGGGAAAATGGACGAACAATTCTGCTTATTTAAATGTAGTTGTTGACAGTAGTTTTAAATTTAAGCATCTGAAAAACAAAAAAAATAAAACAGATAATAAATTTAAGCACCTCAGTATCCTCCTGATTTTTTTGCTACTTATTCTTCCATATTCATTTCTAGTTTTTGATCATACACATATTTTTCAGTGTTGTAAATATATATAGATATGGCATATTTGTTTTGGCTTTTTTCTTTGTTAATATATAGCTTACTCATTTCCAGATAATGATTATAAATATTTGTCATTCATAGTTCCTGTATAGAATACCATTTATCAAAAAAAAGTCCATTCAGAGTTAATCCACAGAGAAACATTTCTTAAACTGCACCATGAAATTAATGAAAGAAAAGTATGGGGAGAAGTGCTTTATTATTTGAGGTAATGCTCAGTAGTGGTGAGGGTATGATGATGGAAGTGGAATGTATGGCTCTTCTGGGAAGCACCTTGGCAGTATATATAAAGAAGAACTCTAAAAACATTTTTAGTCATTGACTCATAAATTCTACTTAGGACTCTAGTAATCAATTAGGAGTTGTAATAGTAAAATCTTATGCTCTAAGTAGGTAGAGGTACAGTATACAATCATATCTCATAATTACATGTTTATGTGTTTTTTTTAATATATACATTCAGAAAAATTGTTTTCCTGTATTACATTCTGGAAGGAAACCAGATATATTTAGTTATGAGCACTTTCTACAAGGACAATGTAATTTTTAAAGTAATTTGTTAACATGGATTTTTAAAATAATTTTTTCATTTATTTTTTTTAATTGAAGTATAGTTGATAAAATATGTTTCTAAATTACAAAAGTTAAACAGCCCTGAGTCTACAAGTCACCTTAAAAAATAGAATATCCTTTAGGTTGTTTTGCATAATTTTTTAATATTCTCATGCCATTATGCTCATGCTTTTAAATATATGGCATAAAGCACCAATTATGAGATTTAGTTCACCTTGTAAGCACTCAGATCAATTCTTTCTGCTATGTTAGAACTAAAGCAAAGGTTAGGTTTTAGGGTATCTTCATATGTATTCCCTTTTGATCACACTCAGATCAATTCTTTCTGCTATGTTAGAACTAAAGCAAAGGTTAGGTTTTAGGGTATCTTCATATGTATTCCCTTTTGATCCTCTGTCTCTCGGAATCTTGTGATGGGAAATCTGTATTAAACTTGAGTTCAGTGGTTTGGTTTCCAATGAATTACAATGTTCTAGACTTGGTTCAGTTTTTACTTCATCAAGTAATCATTTAATGTAGAGAGATTTTCTCCATTTTTTTTTCCCCATGCTAATTGAATGTTTTTCTGTACCATAATCACTACATGGATTACCAAATCATAATTTAGCTCACCAGTGTTCTTGAAGTGTGATTGACCTGCCTGGAAAATATCCATTCCTTTCTACCTTTTGGGAGCTATTTGTTTCTGTAAACTGCTCCAAAGCCACTAAAATGAATGTCATTTCCTTCAACTCTCTTTAGAATTATTTTAGTTACAGATACTTGTAGAGATTTTCTAAAATTCATTGGCTTTCAGTGAGGTGAAGACTTACGATCCTTCTGGTGACTCCACACTACCAACCTGTTCTAAAAAACGCAAGATAGAACAAGTAGATAAAGAGGATGAAATTGTTGAAAAGAAGGCCAAAAAATCCAGGGTTAAAATTAAAGGTTAGTTTGATTTTTTTTTTTTTTGAATTTTTTAAATGTCTTTTGTATTTTTATTCCTTAAGAAAATGTCATAAGTCTTGGGATAGTATATGCCATTGACCTTTATTGTGAAAACCACCTATATTGAAAGCTAATGGTATTTAAATAAGCCAACATGTTCTCTGGGAATAGTTAGGATATTGTTAAATTTAGCAGACTTCATAGAAGAATATAAGAAGCATTTCTTTGAATATGTGGAATTACATATTATACTAAACGTACTAAAGCTTTAGCCCTCCCACTTGAACGATTTTGAGAATCAGTTTAAAAGAAGAAAAGGTTTGTGGTTTCTAAACTCTTCGCTGAAATTTTTTTGTTTTATAGTTAAGAACAAAGTTGATGCAGCAGTGGTTTTCTTCATTGCTTCTCTTAATGGAATGGACTAGAATAATAACATACTGGGTAGGCAGCCATCAGTAAAATATTTAGTAGGTGCTCTCTAGTGAACTAGGCTGTTTTGTAAAGTTGCTGAGAGTACTCCCCCCTCTTATTTGCTGCACCTATATTGATTGCCTACCACAGAGTAGACATTAAACAATGGCTTGTTTGAATTTTGGTTCTAAACACCTTAGTGTTCAGAAGTGGTCAAATCAGCAAATGTGGGCCTCTGCCCTAGATGAGAAAAACAAAAAAGTTACTTAACTTCTATGCTTCTATTTCCTTATTAAACAATAAGGCAATCCCATTAGCAACATTTGAATAGTAGGGTTTAAGTAAGTATTTAATGAATTAATTTCTAAAGCTAGCTACCTATTGAGTTCTCATTCTAATGTGCGGAGCATTGTGTGTTACCTTGTTAAATTGTAGTAACAATCCAATCAGATAGATATTATTAAATGTTACAGATGAGGAAATGGAGCTTAGAGGTTACATGACTTAATCCGAGTCAGAGCAGGTTTTAGCCCAGGTCTCCTAACTCCATAGCACAAACTTTCAATCCCAATATAATTGACTATTCTCAAAAAAAACATTGGGTTTGGAGATTAGGTAGTCAGTTTTAATCCTAATTTCTCTACATAGCTACATGATCATGAGAGATTTGCTTCTCATTGAGCTTTATTTTGTTTGTGAAGTTAGTCGTACTGGATTAGGTAGGTACTTGAAGGACCTTCTAATTAAAAAAGTATACAAAAACATTGGATAGTTGCCCAGAAAGATGTGAAAAACTTTTGAGTCTTAGGTTTTTGGGAAAGTGAGGTTTGATAGTGTTAATTGTGTCTTAATTCTTAACTATTCAGTTGAAGAAGCTGTGGAAGAGGAGGAAGAAGAAGAGGAGGAAGGAGTGGTAGTGGTAGAAGAAGAAGCAGTATCTGTGAAGAAGAAGAAGAAAAAGGACAAGAAGAAACACATTAAGGAAGAACCACTTTCTGAGGAAGAACCATGTACCAGCACAGCAATTCCTGTAGGTGTCATAATCGCTAATACTTGATTGGCATGTACAGGATCTCTGATTTTATTCCACTCTATGTATCAGAAATGAGCAGGCAGTTTTAAAAAATGGTTTTCATTGATGGGGAGGTAAAAATAAAGTGACATTGTTGTATTTACCTTATAAAAAGCCATTTCTCAAAACTGGAATCTTACTACAGAATGGATTTGCTTTTAGTAGTAGTAGTAGTAAGGGGAAGAATATAAGATTTGCCACAGATTACTTTAATGGAAGTGGTTTTTAGATTTTAATCTTTCCTTCCAATTTTTTTTTGAAGGGAAATAGAAGTCTGCTTTGCTTTTTATAAGGAAAAGTTGTTACTCACCCGTGCACTTACAGCTCTTTCAAAAGCATTCTTGTTGGTTATTTTCAGAATCCAGAAAAAAAGAAGAAAAAGAAAAAAAAGAAAGATAATGAGGACTAATGGAAGGAAGCCATAATCGAATCACCTGAATTTCACATCTTGCGTAAAGATTCAGTCAGGAATATGCCAGAGAAGCTCTCTAAAATGGTTGAGGGAAGGTTGGATGAAACAGTGATTAATCATCAAAAGCTTTCAAACCTGTTTGTGTCTTGACATCAGCTCTGCTTACTTTATTATGTCATCATTTCTTAGAGTCTTTGTTATACAAATAAAAATATTTTCTTTGTATTTTAAGGCAGTTCTGTGATCTCTGTGTTTAAGATAGAGAATCTTCGGCCCTTCCTATATTTAATTTAGCATATGGGGGTTATTGTTTTGATAATTATGGCTGAAAAGAGTTGTGAATCATCAATTCAAAACAGCCCATTGGAAGGCAGCAATTAGATGGACCAATTTAAGAACCTCACTTAAATGTTTCTTGCCTTTTGAACTTTCAGTTTTCTCCTTTTCTTCTATCTGCCTGCCTCTAGTATGTATTGAAATAAAACCATATTTTGTGTTCAAAATTTTTTAATTAGGTGAGCAAAACTTCAGTATCTCTACCAAAAAAAAAACTTGTGTCCCTGACTTATAGTTATTTGTTCAAAATTCTGAAACGTAAAACAGAATAATTATTAGTCTAGACCCTGATTGTTTCTAAAGTAACGTAAAGTGAGCTTTTTTAAAAAAGGTAATACTAAAGGATTTATAGTAAAGAATGGGGGAATAAAGGGAGAAGAAGATGAGCCAAAAAGTGGGGGATGGAGGGTCAGGAGGAGTGAGGTATAAACCAGAACATAGAACGCCAAAGAGAGAACTTAGTTTCTAAGCTATTGTTAATCTGTGAATAGCATCTTGGCTGACTGCTATAGCCACAGGTTTGTTAGGACTGTTAGGTCTTGCATCTCTGTGTATGCCATAAAATGATAAGATTTGAGTTATACCTCTTTTTATGTAACCATGGGTGAGTCCTCAGCCCCTCTGAACTTCAGTTCTTCATTTGTCAATCAGAGATAAAGCTCAACTTCACCTAACAGTGGTTTGTGGAAAATCAGATGATACAGACTTTCAGAGATGTTAGTATGTTTCAAATTTAGATACTGGCTTGAAGTAAATGCTACATGAAGTAGATGTGGCCATCCCTAGATATTTAAATTATGTAATAAAACTAGTTATTTTGCTCCCAGGAGAATGTTGTCATTTTACATCACCCAGTAGCACCCCAGACACATCCTTGATTTGGGACGTAACAGATTTTTATTTTTAATAGCTTTTAATGAGAGTGGTCTATAGACCTGTGAAGGCTATGTAGTCAAAATTTCCTATCTTAAGGTAGAGTTTGAGAATGTTAATTAAGCTTATAATCATTTTGGGTAATCTATAGCCTGGAGAAGACCTAGTTGAATCACAGCTATTAGCTTCTTAAGTATTTAAAGTTTTAACTGTTGAAAATACTAATGAAAAGGTAGTTTCTGGTTCTTTGTGCTAAAGTGAAGCACTTGTCCCATTGAAACAATCTGAAATGGGAAATTCAGGTGAATTTCATATACCTAATATTTATATGGTGTGTATATTTGATAAATTTCTGTGACTGGGCTACAAAATAGTCAAATTTTTGATTCTCAAAAAATATTCTTCACCCCCTTCCCTTAAAAAATGGAATTTATATTTTCTAGTTTAAACTATTCTACACTGTCTCTGTGTCCTCTGTATGCTTATGAAGGCCTTGCCTGAGCTGTCTTCTGTCCAGAGCTCCAATCTCAGAACAACAAATTTGAAGCAGCATGCAACATACCAAACAGCATAAAAAGCATCTTTGAAAGAATAAGATAAACTTAGGGACTAGTTCCAGACATGGAAAGTCTCAGCTTTTCTCAGTCTCTCTTGACTATAAACTTAAAGAATGCTAAATTGGTGTTCATACCAGCCTATTTTCACATGCAAGTGTTACTAGTGAGTATTTTTCTTTGGGGTACATCTACATCTAATTTTTGTTTTTGTTGGTTTATTATTTGTTGCTGCTTTGTTACAAAGCTGCAATGAATGCCTTTGTAATTTATCTTCATGTACTTATATTCCTATAGGATAAATTTCTAGATGTATAATTGTGCCAAAGGGATGTAAATATAAAACAGTGCCAGTTTTCTTGTAAAATACTGTAATAATGTAGTCTCCAACCAGTGTTAAGAGAAAGCACCTATTAACAAGAGTGTCTCAAGTCTTTATTCAGATCTACCCCAGCTCCCTCCTTGATAATACAAGTTTTGCACATAGTAGTAAACTTTTTTTAAATACTAATTTGAATTAAGTGGTTTTAAACCGGATCATTTCCCCTTTCTGCTACTTAAAATTGTAGTCAAGATGTACAAGAGGATTCATTTATCAGTACAAAACTGAAGTCATATTCAAGATTATGCACTCCTAACTAGCCTTGTGCTACCAACTGAAAGGTATTTGAGTGAGTAGGAAAAGATAACCCCTTTAACACACTGTACCACTATGTGCCAGAAAATTGCTGTAACTAAATCAGTGATAAGAAGGTGACTGTCCTCTACCTCAGGCTCATGCAAACAGCTTACACAGTTTTAAGAACAGCTCTTCATTATTTCCATGGTTCTTAATTATGGTCTTATTTATTGAAAAGTATGAAGTGATAAGCCTAAAATGATAAATTAACCGAGCATTTACTACATTGGGTGCCATTAATTTGTATTCTAACAACCCTGTCTAACATACCCATTTTACACATGAAATATACACACAGTGGTGGTTAAGTAACTTAGTCAATGCTATTCAGATCATTAAGAATGCCTCTAACGCTAGTGTTTCATGAATCTGGAAAGTGCAAGCTATTCTATGTTGGAGCATTTTCTTAATAGCCTGAAGATCACTGGAATCTTGCTGAAGTAACTGGTGGTAAGTATATGGGTGTTCATTGTATTGTTTTCTCTTTTTCCGTCTGCTTTGAAATGATCATAATTTAAAATCTTATTTTTTAAAGAATAACATGCTATTTATTTTGTTTTAATTCTGAGGTCTTTATCTCTGAAGACTAAGGTAGATTTTTACAGCATTCTTGGTCCACAAAAGCATTTGGGGACACCTGCTATGGGCCAGGCACTTGTCTGTTGTTAGTCTGGAGAACTCAAGGAAGCAGAAGATGCAATAACTGTTGCCTTCAGAGAGTTCGCAAAGTGAACACCAACCTTGATGAAGTCATGCCATTTAAGTCTTGCCTGAGGAAGGGGAATGCAAGGAAGCGACGGTAGAGACCTCAAAAGAAGATGAGAAATAAGGGAATTAGGAAGACGAAAGCTGGAAAGTGGAGTTTGAATTTATGAAAGAGATCAACACTATCAGCCCCAAGAAACATGCACTGAGGAAGCAGAAAACAACAGAAACAGCAGCAGAGACCTACCCCGTCCGTGGCAGGTAAGAGAGTTCTAAGTATAGATGCATCTGTTGCACCTCAAATCCCCACCCTAAAGCTGTTCTCCAACATCCTTTGAGCTTTCGCGATTTGGTACCTGGAAAGCGGTGCCGTGCCATAGAAGTGTGGGGAAGCCATCTCGTGAGTTCTTGGGGCCTCAATACTCCTTCCTTCCAAATCTGAGCCAAGAAGCAGAGAAGCCTTGGTCTTTAGCGGGCGTAAATGTGTCTGATTCCAGGAAAATAACTGGTCAGACAACAAATGCACCTATTTATATCCTGTAATCTGCTGGGCCAGCAACATTCTAATAATCAGCTAGGCATGATAGAGAGGCCACAAGCTGACTGTCAGAATGGGAAGATCCCTGTGCTATTGACCAGAGAAAAAAACATACATAGAAGTACTACATAAGCCAAAAGCACTACATGAAATATCCTTGCTATTATGAGCTGGCTTCACCTCTCACTTTTTCATGTCCTTGGGTAGATCAACCTGTGCCACCTTAGCCTCGGTTTCTTCATCTATAAGATGGAAATGACAACTTTTTCTTTATCTTACAGGACTCTTGGAAACTCAGATGAGATAATTCATGCAAAAATTGCTGGTACACTGAACATGTCAAGTATTATTACTCAAAACCTGTTTACTTTAAAATAGGAAGACCCAATAGTTATGTATTTCAAGGGAGAAGTCAGTGGGAGGGATTAAGGAACCTTCTATGCAGCCACCAGGCAACCACTTACCAAATCCATTTTCTCTTATTTCTAGGCACACAGCTATACTATATTCCTCATCCTTACAATTAGATGTGGTTGCATAACTGAATTCTAGACAATGGAATGGAAGTGGTAGTGATATACGTTGTTTGGAGGCCTGGTCCATAAGAATTCCCCACTGCACTCGGTGCACCCGCCTCCACTTCCCCTCCAGCTTTGTTACATACAAACCACAAGGTAAAAGAAACCTGGGTCCCTGAGTCACCACCCACGGCTTGAAGACAGCTACCCATGGATCAGGACATCCATTTTGGACTTTATAGAGAAAGAAAAAACTTAATTGGCCACTATATTAGCTTGGATCATATGAAATTGCCAATATCTATTTGTTTTGACCTATAAAAATGATAATTTTGTATGATTCAACCTAAGAGATAATTTGACTTATTTCAGCAGCTAGTATAACCTTAATACATCATCTTAAAGGAAGTCTTTTTAACAGTTAAATTTTCAAAGGTGAGAAGGAAATGAGGATTGTTGAACTTGTGGATCAGAGATGATGAACTGCCTGCCTTTGGGCCCCGTTTGAATGCGAAAACATTTTATTTGCTCCACAATACTTGACCCACATAGTTTTGAAGAGTTGAATTCATTGCCGAATCAAAAATATTTTCTTGTCATGCAGTCAAAATGTTTTTTCATTTGTTTTTTGACCTTCAGAATCAACATAGCAAAGAAAAAACCTAAAACCTATCTAAACAAGGCCAAAAGAACAAAACTTTTTTTTTTAATAAACAGAATTAAATTGTTTAGTTCTTAAAAGAGGAAACAATTAATGGGATGAGGAGTGCTTTCTAAAATACATGAAATTCAGAAAACAAAATCCATAAAACCACAAAAGAACTTGTATGGCAAAAATAATGGAAAACAGTTAAAATATATGATAAAGAGATGGTTCCTTTAATATATAAAGAGGTTAATAAGAAAGATAAATATAAATAACAGGTAATGCTAGGAAAAAGTGTACAAATGATCAATAAAATTAAGAAGTGTTATTTTAAGGTATATCAAATTACCAAAATTAAATAATAACATTAACACCCAGGGCTGGCCAAAGTGTAGGAAAACGTACCTATGTTGTAGATGGGAATATAAACTGGCAGAAGCTTTTTGGAGGGCATTTTGCTGACAGCTTTTAAAAATGCTAATCAAGCAATGATACTGTAAGTTTAATGATTATAGTCACAAAGCTCACTAAGATGTAGTTATAAGAATTGTCATTACAGCATTGTTCATAACAGTAAAACAAAGAACAAACCAGGACCAACCACAATATCCCTTAAGTAGAGGTTAGTAAATAATCTTATGTCTAAAAACTGCAGCCATTAAAATACAGAAAGATGTAGATTCACTATTTAGTGGTAAAAACAACAGTGCATAGTAGTGTGAAATTACTTCTGTAAAATTTTTGAAAGGATATATACTTAGATTTTTCTTTTTTTCCCCCATATACAAGAAATTTAACTCCTTTGGAGAGAGGGATTAAGAAATTTGGGACCCAGAGTGTAGAGAAGATTTTTTGCTTTTCATTCTTTTCTGTGTTGTTTCATTAAAGAAACCATGTGCCTGTGTTATTTTTCACACATATTTTTTATTTTTTAAAAATTTAAGGTAAATGAAACTATAGTCAAAAACTACCAAAATCATGTTCTACGTAAAGCTCTGATACTGGCTATTTGTTTTGTAGTTTATTGATTTTTTTTTTCCCCCTATAGAGACAAGGAGGGGTATATAGGTTCTGTTAGCTTTGTGGTTTGAATAAAGTGAAAGCTGTAAAGTATGGATAAACAAATTATTTGAGATTCATCAATTCCCCACGCCACACATACCTTCCCTTAGTCCCTAATTACTAGTCCCTAATTACCTAATCATCCTATAGTTTTGAAGATATTTAAGGTCTCATCCCAATTTTAAAGCAGAAGAACTGGAATCACAGAAGAGTTAAGGTGACAGAATTGTAACTCCAGCTTCCACTGTAGAATTTGTTGGAGAAACATGTTTGTGAAATGCTAGATTAGGGACCAGAGGGTTGTGGTAAGTATAAATTACTGCAGATAACCTGATTTGATGTTAAATGATCTATATAATTTGAAAGTACCAATAGGTGTTAAGATTTTGCTATTCATTGTCTACTTGTTCTAGGCATGATTTCTCTTTCCTCATCATATTCCAGAAAGCTTTCCAACATCTCTCAATTCTTAGGATTGGGTTTTCTTTCCTCCCAAATCACAGATGTTTTCCCACCCCGTGAAATCTAGTGACGGCTGGCCAGAGAATAATTGCAATTGTGTTGTTCTGAAGGAAATCCTTTCTTAACTGCCAGGAATTTCAGGCTCCAAACGGGTGGGGAATGGGGCATTGGCACCCTGCCATGTAATTGCCTTCTTTTCCCTTTCGCCATCCGAAGGCGACTGGCTGGAGCCCAAGGGTAAAACCACAGCTTCCCAAGCCTGGAGGTTCAGACTAGTCATTTCTCCTCCATACAGACCTCTTTTAAACCATAATCTAGCTGAACTTTAATGCCTTCCAAAAGGAGAAATCATCAAAACTCCATTGATCACAACAGTGTTATAAACACTGTCATGAAACCTTTTCCTTCATCTAAACCAGAGTTTGGTAAACTTTTCCTGCAAAAGATCAGTAAATATTTTAGGTTTCACAGACCAGTGCTCTCTAATGCAAGTACTTAACTCTTCCACTGTAGTGCAAGAACAGCCAGACGATATCTAAACAAATGAGCATTGCTGAGTTACCATAAAATTTTATGAATACTGAAATTTTAATTTCATCTAAATTGTACGTGTAACATAAAATAATTTTTTTCCCCAGTCATTTAAAAATGGGAACACCATTCTTAGCTCACGATCCATTCAAAAACAGGAAAATAATTTGAAAGTACCAATAGGTGTTAAGATTTTGCTATTCATTGTCTACTTGTTCTAGGCATGATTTCTCTTTCCTCATCATATTCCAGAAAGCTTTCCAACATCTCTCAATTCTTAGGATTGGGTTTTCTTTCCTCCCAAATCACAGATGTTTTCCCACCCCGTGAAATCTAGTGACGGCTGGCCAGAGAATAATTGCAATTGTGTTGTTCTGAAGGAAATCCTTTCTTAACTGCCAGGAATTTCAGGCTCCAAACGGGTGGGGAATGGGGCATTGGCACCCTGCCATGTAATTGCCTTCTTTTCCCTTTCGCCATCCGAAGGCGACTGGCTGGAGCCCAAGGGTAAAACCACAGCTTCCCAAGCCTGGAGGTTCAGACTAGTCATTTCTCCTCCATACAGACCTCTTTTAAACCATAATCTAGCTGAACTTTAATGCCTTCCAAAAGGAGAAATCATCAAAACTCCATTGATCACAACAGTGTTATAAACACTGTCATGAAACCTTTTCCTTCATCTAAACCAGAGTTTGGTAAACTTTTCCTGCAAAAGATCAGTAAATATTTTAGGTTTCACAGACCAGTGCTCTCTAATGCAAGTACTTAACTCTTCCACTGTAGTGCAAGAACAGCCAGACGATATCTAAACAAATGAGCATTGCTGAGTTACCATAAAATTTTATGAATACTGAAATTTTAATTTCATCTAAATTGTACGTGTAACATAAAATAATTTTTTTCCCCAGTCATTTAAAAATGGGAACACCATTCTTAGCTCACGATCCATTCAAAAACAGGAAACCAGCACTAGTTTGTTGACCCCTGATGTAAACCACTGGTTTTCAAACTGCTTTGGCAAGTTTCTGAGGGGAGGAAGAGTTGTGGGAGGGGCAATCCCCACTCAGGCTTCCACTGGAGCCATCCACTCCTTTTCTGTCTTAAATATTGGACTCCTAGGGTTCGCTGTGTGTTTTTTTTAATAAAAAAAAATTGAAGTATAACTGACATATTAGTTTCAGGTGTACAACATAGTGGTTGGACATTTATATATAATTTGAAATGCTCAACATGATAAGTCTAGTTACAATCTGTGAACATACAAAGTTATTATAATATTATTGACTATATTCCTTCTGCTGTACTTTTCATCCCTGTGACTTATTTTATAGCTGTAAGTTCGTACCCTCCCAGGTTTTGTTTTATTTAAAGAAAAGGTTTTATAGCCAGAAATTTAAGTCACTGATCTAACCACAATCTCCTTTTTGTAACTTTAGCCTGTTTTCTCTTGGTCTTCTCTCAGTGGAAATGGAGAATAGATTGTTACCTAGTTCATTTTAAGGGGGCTCTCAAGAAATAATCAACAATTTCATCTTAAATAAACTTTGTCCTTTCATCTACCTAGTAAGTCTGCTATATTCTGCCAGTCCTTTACTTTGTATTTGCAACCTTTCCCTCCAAGTTCTCAAAGTCCTACAAAATTCTACAAAGTGAAATAATAAATCATAAGGAAGAACACCTTGCTTTGTATCCCCGCATCTTTAGCATTTAGAGTGGCAGAAGCACTATGGCCAGGGGGGAAGAGCCCAGATTGTGCTACAAGTAAGAAACAAGTGGCAAGGCAAAGGAGACTGTGCTTGAAGTCTAATCTGAGAACTAAGGAAGTCCTGAGGTCAGAATCCAGAAAGATCTTGAATGAACAAGCAACAAAGTGAGAAGTGAAAGCAAGCAATTTAGTATAGGTGCCA